ATCGCAAGGAGTTCAATGGCCCTCGGCAAGCACCAGGATAAGCCGAAGAAGTCGGTCGGGGACAACACAGAGGACGAACTCGGGGAGCTCCTCGCGAACATCATGAAGCAGAAGCGCCAGCACGAAGCACGACGACAACACCCAGAGGAGCGCAGCTACGAGGCTTGGCAAAGACGAGAACACGCTGAAGTTCTACTGTCTCGAATCACGGTCGGCTCCAAATACGGCAAGTGCAACCGCAAATACAGCCGCGCGACCAGAACACGCCCCAGCGTGCAGGAGTGGGTAGTTCACATTGCAGCAGACGGCCAGCACGGAGGGTTCAATGCTCGCCCGTTCGACCTCGAGGAGGACAAGCGCATCTCGAAAGAGACCCCCCACGAGTTCGCCACAGAGCACAACCTTCAAGTTTGCCAGGAATACGAGGACGCCAAGGACGGCAACATGCGAGCACTCTGCGGCGTCATTAAGCGCATCAAGTAGCTCAAGAAGTGCGCCCCCATGCCAGACTGGATACTGCCCGCCGAGATCTTCCAGATGACCTTTGGAGGACATGCTGGCTGCGTGGAGGGCAGGGCTATGACTACGAGTACGAGAATATTGGATGGCCGATACGACTACGCCTCGTTCGGCAAGGCGATCGGCGTGCGTGGCGCCGGGATCGCAATGAAGGTGCCGCTCTGAGCGACGACGGCGGGGGCCCATCCTTGCGGCCGAATGCACTGCCTTGCCCCCCAATGCCGCTCTATCTACATCCTCCTCCTCCTCCTTCTCCTCCTCCTCCCCCTCCTGTCCTCCTCCTCCTCCTCCTCCTCCTCCTCCTCCTCCTCCTCCTTTTGTTTCCCTCCTCCTCCTGCGAGGATTTCAATAGGCATCCTTCTGCGGAGGATATCAATGAGGATCCTTCCGTGGAGGATTTCAATCGGAGTCTTTTTGCAGCGGATTTCTTCGGAGGCCAAAGAGTCAGCGAATCGATACCGGATACAAAAGGAACTCTACCAGGGCGCCCGGAGGCCAAAAAGTCAAGGAATCGATACCGGATACAAATAAACTCGAATCAGGAAGGCCAGACGAAGAGGAGGAGGAGGAGGAGAAGAAGGAGGAGAAGGAGGAGGAGCTCCAGTGCCTGTATACACCACAGCGCTGGCAGCTACGAGCGCCGCGATACGACCGACGCACCAACGCCTCTCAGAAACAGAACAACACTACGTTCTTGAGAGCACCACGCGGCACGCACGCAACCGCTTCCCGTCGCGAATACCACAGCGTGCCTCTGAACATCACAGTAGCCTGCGAACGCCACAGGACGCCCGCGGTCGCCACCAGACGACCGCCGTGACGTGAGGGAGGGGGGGGGGCGGGGCCGGTCACGCCCGTGATCGCCGGGAGGTTTTCCGAACGGGCTCCAAGGGGCAGGGCAGGCGCGCGCGCGCGCCGCAGCTGACGTCTCATCCCTCCGAACCGGCCACTCCTCGGTGTTCCAAAGCCTCCTCTGTCCGCCGAGCGGAGTGTCCCAGGAGACCTTGGCCCTCAGATGGCAATCGCAGGAATTCACCCACCGCTGGCTGTGCAACCAGCGAGGGAGGGCTGGACATGGGGAAGGAACAACAGCAGCAGCAGCAACAGGGAACGCAAAGGAGGGGAAAGAAAGAAAGGGGGCGGCAAAGATGAGGACAGAATTGGATTCAGAAAGGTGGCCCGCACCAGGGCAAGAACAATTCCGAACGACGGATGCAGGGCATCGACCCGAAAATGAGGCCAGCGTTGCAGCAAGAGCACCCTGCTGCAGGACCGAAGACATTCCGAAGGAAGACACACAGATAACAGATATCAAACACTAAATAGTGAGATGACGTGGAAGCCACACGCGGGAAAGGCGGGGCCCGCGCTGGACACTGCAGGAGAGGTGAGGGAGAGTAGTATTCACCATGAGTTGTTGTAAAGGGGGAAAGGGAAGGAGGAGGGCGAGGAGGAGTGGGTGGGTGAGGGAGCGAGGAATGGGTGTGGAAGGGGAGGGGAGAGGAGGGGAGTGGACGGGAGGGGGAGGGGACAAACTAGGTGCGCTCGCGTCATATATGACGTCCTACCCTCCCTCTCATCCCTCACCATGGCGTAGATCGCCTCTCTCTCTCTCCGCACAATCGGATGTCGTAGCATGGCATAGCATTACATGGCATAGCATGGTGTTGAAGGTCAACGCGTAGCATGACATAGCATGGCGCATAACATGACAGAGCTGCTTCTGCGGCACAACAAAAAGAAAGAGCTGAGCAAACGGGCATTCCAGGTTTTTGGGCCGAGGCTAACAACGCTGCTGACCGCTTCGCAGGATACGAAGCAGCCAGATGCCAGCTCGATGAGGATATATGCTAGCCTATTTTGAAGCTCGGCCGTGAAGCGGACGAGATCCGATTAAGAGTTGCTATGACTGGTGTTGCTTGTGCCTCCAAATACGGGAAAGCACAACCAGCATCACCAAGAGCCAAGCTAGCTGAAGCCAATATTGGAGCTAGACGTTTCTACCAGCTGCGCAGTGAGTCCCCGCACGCTGCGGGATTAGTTTCGCGCAATCCCAGAGAAATGTTGTGCTCGGCTTGCAAGCAAAAGCCTGCCGCATGGGATACAGACCAGCTCCGAGCTTGGTTGCAGTCCCCGTGCGTCCCGGTGTCACTCGCAGGCAGCCTCCCGAGAGACGGCTCGCTGCGTATAGGCAGCCAAGTCGTAGAGTGTTAAGGCCCAGTAAAGCGACCGGCGTGCTGACCCCCCCCCTTCGCGACAGGAGGTGCGTCGCGCATTCGTCGCCCGTGCACCGCCCGTGCGTCGGCCGCCGAAAAGACCAGCCGTCCTCTCAAACGTGCACGTAGACCCAGCCACCACAGAAAGTTGTTCGAGCATGTGAAAGGCTGTGCCTACCTAGCTTGCGGCAGCATCAGCCTGCGAGGTATGATGCGGAAATTAGCCAAACCTTGCACCCCAGTCCTGCTGAAGGCAGGCAAGGCTGGCCAAGGGCAGATTTCCAGGACGCTCCGCTCAGGCCAAAGCTTTCAGCGCAGCTTTGAAGAGGGGAAGGTAAGGCTAATCAAACAATGCGTGCGCGCAGCTAGGTGAAAAGTCCTCGTCGCCTCGTCGTCGTCTTTGTCGTCGTCGTTCTCGTCCTCGTCCTCGACGTAGTGGTCGTCGTCGTCGTCGCCCTCGTCGTCCTCGTCGTCCTCCACGTCGCCATCATCGTCCTCATCCTCCTCGTCGTCGTCATCGTCCTCCTCGTCGTCGTCGTCTTCGTCCTCGCCCTCGTCCTCGTCGCCCTCGTCGTCGTCCTTTTCCGCCTCGTCCTCGTCCTGATCGTCGTCATCATCCTGATCGCCGTCGTCCTCCTCCTCCTCGTCTTCGTCGTCATCGTCCTCGTCGTCCTCATCATCCGCATCGTCCTCGTCGTCCTCGTGGTCCTCGTCGTCATCATGGTCGTCGTCGTCCTCGTCGCAGTCGTCGTCCTCGTGGTCGTCGTCGTCCTCCTCGTCGTCCTCGTCGTCCTCGTCCTCGTCGTCCTCGTCCTCGTCCTCGTCGTCATGGTTATCCTCGCCGTCGTCACCGTCGACGTCAACATCGTCGGCGTCGTCGTCGTCCTCGTCCTCGTCGTCGTCCTGGCCGTCCTCGTCGGCGTCGTCGTCGCCGTCGTCGGCATCCTCGTCGGCGTCGTCGTCCTCGTCGTCCTCGTCCGTCTTGTCCTCATCGCCCTCGTTCTCATCGTCGTCGTCGCCGCCGCCGTCGTCGCCGTCGTCGTCCTCGTCATCGTCGTCCTCGCCGCCGCCGCCGCCATCGCCGTCGTCGTCCTTGTCGCCGTCGTCCACGTCCTCCTCGTCGTCTTCGTCGTGCTCCTCCTCGTCGTCGTCCACGTCCTCGTCGTCCTCGTCGTCTTCGTCCTCGTCGTCCTCGTCGTCCTCGTCGTCCTCCTCCTCCTCGTCCACCTCCTCCACCCCCTCCTCCTCGTCCTCGTCGTCGTCGTCCTCGTCGTCCTCGTCGTCCTTCCGTCCTCGCTGCCCCTCCTCCCAGCACGAGCTTCGGCGAGGGAGGACGCGGCAGGCGTGGGGGGGCGCGGCGGGCCCGCGGCAGAGGACCGCGGACGCGGAGCGCGGGCGGCGGTGCCGCGAGGCGGCGGGGCGCGGCGCGGCCGAGATCCGGGCGGAGAGGCCCGCGGTGGAGCCAGCACCTTCGACGGGTCGATCTTGCGCCTGGCGCTCGGCACATGGCACGGCGCGGCCCGCTCAGCAGGAGGAGGAGGAGGAGGAGGAGGAGGAGGAGGAGGAGGAGGAGGGGGAGGAGGGGGAGGAGGGGCGAGGAGGAGGAGGAGGAGGGGAGGAGGAGGAGAGGAGGAGGAGGAGGAGGAGGGAAGGAGGAGGAGGGTGAGGAGGATGCATCCGCACGTGCGCGGAGCGCAGCAGGGCAGAGAGCGGAGGGAACGAAGGGCCAGAGCACGGAGCAGCAGAGGGAGGCTCACTTCCCGAAGAGCCTAGCTAAGAGAGCAGAGACGGGTCGGCAGGAGCTTTTTTGAGGCAGGGCGCAAGAGAGTGGGAGCAGCGCATGGGAGCTAACAGCCTGCGGTGGAGGCAAGCAGAGGGGAAAGGAGCAGCTGGGCTCTTTCTGGAGGGAGCTGCCTAAGGGGACAAGAGGGAAATTAAAGAGCAGGCTGCTTTCACGGGGGACACTTAAGGCTGACCAGTAACAGTGAAACCATCGTGTCTGGATCAACGACCTCTCCCAACAGGGGCAAACCTACAACGTTTTTCTCCTGGGCCGTGGGGGTGGTGGTGGGCCTTTGGGATATTATGGCGTGGCGAGGCAGGGAGGTAGTTTAAGTTTGTGATTTGATTCCGGGCAGTAGTTGGATGAGCAGTTGAGGGAAGGTGTAATGGCTAGTTTATAGTTGTTGCCTGTTGGCCTCGCACCTCTCAGCAACCGCGCCAGGGACCTCAGCCACGCCCCCCCGCAGAAGGCCCTCCCTCAGATCGAAGTCCACCGCGGCCTCGCAGACGTAGGCGGCCTCCATGCCCGGGCACTCCGCGAGCGCCGAGCGGACCCACTCGTGTGCCAACGGCTCGCGCGTGAGCAGCACCGCGAAGCCGCCCCCTCCGGCTCCGGCCAGGGTAAAGCCGAGGAGGCCGGGGGACAGCGCCTCACGCAGGCCGGCGATGGCGTGCGGCTCGCTGCCGGGCGCCATGACGCGCTTCTGCGCCCAGTAGGCGGAGAGGCAGGCACCCAGCTTCTCCAGGTCGCCCGCGCGGATGGCATCAGCTGCCGCCTCGGCGTTGGCGACAAGCTCCCTCACGGTGCGGGTTATTTCGGGCGTCTGCGCAAACCACTGGCGGATGACGTTCTGCAAGAGGTTCTTCGCGAGCCTGGGCCGCCCGGTGAAGACGAGCACCAGCCGGCGGGAGATCGCATCGGCCAGCTCCTGGCTCATGGGCAGCGGCTCGGGCACGACCCGCAGGGGCAATGCGGCCGCGGACCGGGTGATCTTGGCGCCGCCCAGGATGGCGCCGACCTGGTCCTGCCAGCCGCCCCCCGTGGTCAGCATCTGCTCCACGTTCTGCACCGCGTGGATGAGCGAGGAGTCGTCCATGTCCAGGCCGAAGGCGGCCAGGATCGCCTTCATGGCCACGCCCGCAAGCACGGACGAGCCGCCGAGCCCCGAGCCCTGCGGCAGCGAGCTCCAGGTCACGAGGTGGAGCCCGCCCCCCGCGGCCCGCAGCTGCTCGGCGAGCGGCGCGCTGCCGGGCGCCAGGGCCACGATGCCGCAGGACAGCGCGCAGCACTTGACCAGCGAGCCCGGCGCCCCGGGCCTGTTGTAGTCTTCGAGGTCGGCCAGCGTGCGGCAGACGACGGTGGGCGGGCTGGCGGCCTCGGGCGAGCCACCGCCGCCGCCGGGCCCGTCGGCCCTCGTCTCGAAGACGAGCTCCAGGCGGTCGCTGAGCCTCTGGGCGCGCGCGCCCAGCGGCCGCCTCCCGGCCACCGTGACGGCCAGGTTGACAACTGCCCCGCCGTGGGCGTAGCACACGGGCGGGGTGTCCGTCCAGCCGCCGGCGAGGTCGATCCGCGCCGGGGCCTCCACGGTGACCCACGCCCCTGGAGGCGTCGGCTCCGCCGCCGGCGATATGGAGACGAACTCCGAGCAGGTGGCCACCGCCGTCAGTATCAGCAGCTGCGCCGCCGCCTCGTAGTGGCGCGCCGCGCGGATGAGCGCCACGGGGCCGTCGTTGATCCACTGCGAGCGCAGCCTACGCATCTCGAGCACTGCCTCACGGCGATCCTCGGCGCTCGCCCCCGACAGGCGCGCCAGCGCGCCACGCCAGTGCGGGTTGCGCGCCATGCCGGAGCGGAGGCCGCCCGCCACGCCGCCGAAGGCCGCCAGGAGCTCGGCCACCTGCGCCAGCGAGCGGGCGGCCACATCCAGCGGCGTGTCCTCCGCCGCCGCGATCGCGTCGAAAACGTCTAGGAGTCCCCATCGCCTGCGCCGGACCTCGTCGTCGATGATGTGCCGCAGCGACTTGTCACGCTGGTGTAGCATCAGCTGCCTGGCCCTCAGCACATTGGTCTCTGCCGACACCTCGTCCTGCCATTCCAGCTCGCGCCCCACGTCAGCGCTGGAGAGCAGCTCCTCCAGCGAGAGCCGCGGGGCGTCCCGCCAAACCTGCATCCACCGTCGCCTCCACAGATCCACGCGCGCCCTCCTGGAGGCGGGAGGCGTCTGCTGGATGGCCGCCGCATACTCCGCCCACAGCAGGCCCAGGGAACCCGGCGAGAGGTCGGCGACCGTCGGGAACAGCCTCGCCGCCCGCAGCGTCCGCGCGCAGGTCTCGTGGCCCTCGCCCCACAGGTCTGCTGGGCCCGCCCCCGTGTTGCGGAAGAACTCCTCCCACGACTGGCCCAGGAACGTGCCCCCGGCCGCGAACTGGCAGCGCTCGTCCTCGAGGCGGTAGGCCGCGACGCACACCAGGCCGTGCCGCACCGCCTCGTAGCCCGAGCCCAGGAGCGACACCTGCTGCAGCCGCAGCCCCGGCGGCACGTCGAGTCCGACAATCCGCTTCAGCCCCGAGCACACGGCGCCCTCCCCGATGTTGCAGCGCTGCAGGAAGGAGCTCTCGATGACAGCCGCCCCCGCGACGGAGCACTCCCGCAGCACGCTGTTCACCACAGACGCCGAGGCATGGACCTTGGACTCTTGGGTGCCGCTGCTCTGGTCATCCTGAAGGCTGGCTACAAGCTTGACGAAGTCCTGAGTGGAGCGGACGTACATGTACTGGGCGGGATCGTCTGGCTCTGTGACCACGGCGCTGAGGTGGATCTGGCCGTGCAGCAGCCGCCACAGCTGCGCCCTAAGATCCTTGTCCACGTACACCTGGGAACACTCAAATCGGAATGCTCGTCTCATGCACGAGCGGCGTTGCAGGGCTCACCAATGCTCCGAGCAGGCATGCTGACCACAGCTTCGACTGTCGCCGTAAGCTTTCCCAGATCCCACTAGCCCTCTGGGCATGGGTAATTCAACGTATCAGCTCTTCCCACGCGACCCCACCTTTCCCCGATCCCCCTGACTGGGGGCCTGGATCCCTCCTCCACTGATTATCCATTCGAATGTATCATCAGTATGTGGATGCATATAGACATACATATCTGCATACATACATACATACATGCATACATACATCCATACATAAATACAGTAGCAACGCTTGCATGCATACATACATATGTACATACATACGTGTGTAAATGTGTATACATAAACATGTATACATGCATGATTGCATGCATTCACATACATGCATACATACATATATACATTCATACAAACATATATGCAGACCTACATGCATACATGCATATATACATACATACATGCGCGCATGCACACATTCCAAGCATGCATGCTTGCATGCATGCATGCATACATGCATACATACCTGCATGCGTACGTGCATGCATACATGCATACATATGGACATACATGCATGCATACATGTATACATGTATGCATACACACAAATGCATGCACGCATACATATATATATATATATATGTATGTACATATATATAAATATATATATATATATATACCTACATACATACATGCATGCATGCATGCATACATAGGTGGATAATTGAACACATACATGCATGCATGCATGCAGGCATAAAAAAATGTAAACGCACGTGCATACATGCATACATGCATACATGCATCCAGACATGCATACGAATACACAAACACACATGCAGGTGTGATTACATACACGCATGCATGCATGAATACCTGCATGCATGCATACATACATACATACATACATACATACATACATACATATATACATACACACATACATACACACATACGCATGCACATACGTACAAGCCTACATACATAAATGCATGCATACATGCATGCATGCATACATACACGCTTACAGACATATATACATGCATGCATAAATGTATACATCAATATGAGTATAGAGATATACAGAGACATGTAGATATATATAGAGAGAGGTATCTAGATTGATCTATATATATATGCATCTATATATATGTGTGTATGAATATATATATATATATATATATCAGTGGACGAGGAAGATTGGTTGGCTGATATACGTAAATACATATTATATACATACATACAGATAGATAAATAGACATATGCGTGTATCAATATATTGGTAGGCATATGGATATATAGATATGTTGTTATGTATATATGTACACACATAGGTAGATATAGACCTAGGTATGCGAATACAAGGCAAGTTGGCATAAAGATAAAGATATAGCTGACTTGATCGATAGATAGGTATATGGCCATACACATGTATCCGCCTCCGTGCCTCTGGGAACTGCGTGGGCATGTCCTCGGGTCCTTTCTCTGAGCCTCTAAGCCTCAGACACCACTCCTGATGAGTCTGTCGGGGGCCCGGGGCTCGGTTGCGCCCCCTGTGGGGCCACGAACTGCATGATGGGCGTGCCGAACTGAACCTGAGTGAGGCCTTCGGTGGAACCCCCTTGTGGGGCCACGAATCGTGTGAGGGGTGCGCCGGGAAATGGGCTCGAAGCCTTCGGTCGCACTCCCTGTGGGGCCACGAACCGTGTGATGCGTGTGCCGATTTGGATCCAAAGCCTTCGGTTGTGCCCCCTGTGGGGCCACGAACCGTGTGAAAGGTGTGCAGACATGGGCCCGAAACCTTCGGTTGCAGCCCCCGTGGGGCCACGAACCGTGTGAGGGGTTTGCCGAAATGGATCCGAAGCCTTCGGCTGCACCCCCCTGTGGGACCACGAACCGTGTGAAGGGTGCGCCGATATGGGCCCGAAACCTTCGATTGCGCCCCCTGTCGGGCCAAGAACCGCGTGAGTGGTGCGCCGGAATGAAACCGAAGCCGTCGGTTGCGCCCCTTGTGGGGCCACGAGCCGTGTGAGGGGTGCGCCGACATGGGCCCGAGGCCTTCAATTGCGGCCCCCGTTAGGCCAGGAATCATGTGAAGTGTGCGTGCGCGTGTGCAAAAATCTGCTCGAGGCGTTCGTTTACGCCCCCTTGTGGGGCCACGAACCGTATGAGGTGTGTGCCCAAATGGACCCGAAGCCTTCGGTTGCGCCCCCCGTGGGGCCACGAACCGTGTGAGGTGTGTGCCGACATGGACCCGAAGCCTTCGGTTGCGGCCGCTGTGCGGCCACGAACCGCGTGAAGGACGCCATACGGCCTATGGGGCGAGGCAGGCCCCATACGGCCTGTATGGGATCCGATACAGATCCCGTACGGCCTGTATGGAATCCGATACAGATCGCATGCGGCCTGATTGGGATAATGGTGTGACAGACCCAATACGGCCTGAATGGTGTCCGATGCAAAGCCCATACGGCCTGAGTGGGATCTGATACACATCCCCTGCGGCATGTATGGGGTCCAGAATGGATCCCATACGACCTGTACGGAATCCGACACAGATCCCACACGGCCTGAATCGGACCCGACGCAGATCCCATACGGCCTGTGTGGTATCCGAAACAGATCCCAAGACGGCATGTATGGTACCCGATACAGGCCCCACACGGTCTGCACGGGATCCGATACTAATCCCATACGACCTGTATGGGCTTCGAGACAGATCCCCAGCGGCCGGTCCAAAACAGATCCCATACAGCCTGCCTTGGATCCGATGCGGATCCAATACGTCATGTATAAAGCCCCCGATACACATCCTATGCGGCCTGTATGGGGTCCGATGCAAATCCAAAACGGCGTGTATGGAACCCGATACAGGTCCCATGCGGCCTGTACGAGATCCGATACAACTCCCCTGCGACCTGTACGAGATCCGATACAGATCCCATACGGCCTGTATTGGACCCGATACAGATCCCATGCGGCCTGTATGGGAGCCGATGCAAATCCCATACAGTCTGTATGGGATACGAGACAGACCCCATACGGCCTATATGGGACCCGATACAGAACGCATGAGGTCTGAATTGAATCCGATACAGAGCCCATACGGTCTGAATGGGACCCGATACAGATCCCATACGGCCTGTATGAGATCCGATATTGACCCCATACGGCCGGCACGTGATCCGATACAGGTCCCACACAACCTGTATGGGCTCCAATACAGATCCCCGACGGCCTGTTTGGAATTCGATATGGATCCCATGCGCCCTGTATGGGATCCGATACTGATCCCCGACGGCCTGTATGGCGTCCGATTCCCAGCCCATACTGCCTGGGATCCGATACAGATCCCATACGGCCTGTATGGGATCCGATACAGATCCCATACGGCCTGTATGCGATCCGATACAGATCCGATACGGACTGCCGCACAACCCTGCGGGGCGCCCTGCGAAAGGCGCACGAGACGCGGACGGGGGGGGGCGCAACTCGCGCACGGGAGGGCGCAACTCGCGGGGGGGAGGTCGCAACCACGCTCGCGTTCGAGCGTTGCGCGATTGCGTTGCCCCCCCCTGGGCGCAACGCAACGGGGCCCCAGGAACACGTTCTCATCAACAGCGCGACAACAAGAACAAGAACAAGAACAAGAACAAGAACAACAACAACAACAACAACAACAACAACAACAACAACAACAACAACAACAACCAGTTTAAGGCTGTACGCTCTTACTTGCCCGCGAGTCATTCAACACGTATACCCTACACCCTCGATACCCGCCCTCTTCGTCTTCGATCACACCCCTTTCGGGGGGATTATTTCTCTTTGCTGGGGCCGGCGGGCTTAGACGTACGGGCAAACCGGAACGGGCGGACAATCCTTCGGGGGCGTACATCTCTCTGCCCGCCATTGGAATTGGCGCGGGCACTGCAAGAGGAGGAGGGGAAGAACGAGGGAGAGTGGGAGGAAGGGGAGGGGGAAGGACGAAGGAAGAGGGAAGATACCACGTTGTGAAGGCGTCCTTGGCGCGCGCGTGGTTCCTGAGCGCCGAAACGCAATTCCAGAATAATTTGTGAGGACGTCGCACGCGAGAGCGCGGTCTCGAGTACATTGTGAGGAAATCTCAGGCGGAAGCGGGGGCCCTGACTAAGTTGCGGGGAAGTCTCAAGCGGGAGCGCCGTTCCTGAGCAAATTGCACGGAAGTCTCAGGCGGGAGCGGGGGTCCTCACTAAATTGCGAGGAAGTCTCAGGCGGGAGCGCCGTTCCTGAGTCAATTGCGCGGATATGTCAGGCAGGAGCGGGGGTCCTGAGTAAAATTCGAAGAAGTCTCAGGCGGGAGCGCCGTTCCCACGTAAATTGCACGGAAGTCTCAGGCGGGAGCGGGGGTCTTGATTACATTGCGAGGAAGTCTCAGACGGGAACGCCTTTCCTGAGTAAATTGCGCGGAAGTCTCAGGCGGGAGCGGGGGTCCTGAGTAAAAATCGAGGAAGTCTCAGGCGGGAGCCGTTGTTGTTGTAGCCCGGGGGGCAGGGGCACAGTTTGAGCAGGAAGATTTTCCTTGAGAAAAAACAAGGTGCGAGCCCCGGGGGTGGCACTTCAATCGAAAAAAACAATGTGCACCGGTGGGGGGGGATCAACAATAATTATTCATCAAGAATGAGAGTTCAACAACAACAACATCAACATCAACAACAACAACAACAACACCAACAACAACAGCAGCAACAACAACGCAACAAACATAATCCTCACCATGGATCCTCATTTCAGTCGCACCCAGGGACAATGAATGACCATTCGGCCCCTCACTCTGCTAATTATTATTAGTACTCGTTTTCTTCTTCTTCTTCTCCTCATTCGTACTTTTATGTTCCTTATCATTATTCTTCTTATATGTACCCCACGTCTTCTCATTCGTATTCCTCTTTTTGTTTCTTCTCTTCGAAGCGCGTTGGAGGTCTGGAAGGCGCGGGGAGGGCGGCGCCCTGACTCCAGATCCGCCGTACTTAGGTTGATTATCCGACTTAACCTCGTGTCGGACGGGCGTCCCTCGCGATGGGACAAGCGCTGGGACAAAAGCAAGGCAGAAAGGTCCGTCGCATAAAGATCGGGCGC